GAGAGAGCGATTTTTTAAATATATAGCTATACTAACAGCTTCTCCCCAGTAAGCTTTCGAAAGATTAGAATCTTTTAACATTGACCTGGCTTTTCAATAATCGTCCTATTTACCCTTTCTGCAACTCCATTTTCTTTTCTCACAGAACCGAGATGGAACTTAATATTCTTTGAATTTAGCCAATTCTGTAAATCTTTTTTTAACCACTTGGCTGTGGGCATTTTTTCTATAAGTCTCGAGTGATAACTTGCATTATCCATTACTATTATACTGTTCTGAGGAAGAAGATCTATAATTTGTTCGAACCACTCTTTAAAGACATCAGCATTCATGTCCTCATGGTAGTCACCGGTACGAGTAGATTCAAAAGTCAATAAACCACCTTTAACAAAACCGTTTGAACACCGATGTGTACTATTATTAGTCTGTGTCCCTTTCCTGATGGTGGATTTAAACCAGTAGATAAATTATTTAAAAAAGCCTGTCTTCGACTTGTAACAGTTTCATCTTGCCAAAATTTATTTGGTTTATGTCCCTCGTTGATCCATGTTTCATCTAAATAAAATATATTTCTTCTTTGGTTTTTCATTTCTTTTATAGTCCTTAGGTAATTTCTTCTCCATACAACAATATCGCTGCTTCCTATTAAAATAGACTTTCTGGAATGCTTTTTCCATAGAAAACCTATTTCTTTTAAAAGTTTCCATAGTGTGCTTCGACTCATTTCAGGGTAATCCTTATCATCTCGAACCGTGGCAAGAACTTTGTCTACTGTCGGAAATTCTTTTCTAAAGAAGAACGCATGCACTTTCCTTCGAAGATTTTCTAATTGAAATTTTAGTTTTCCTGGTGCTTTACGTGCTGTTTGAAACTCGCCACATTTCTCTTCTTTAACAACTCTGTAAATCGTAGATTTCCCAACACCAAACGTACTACTAACTAATTCCACTGTGTCATCAACACTTTTACATAAATGTTTGTCTGTAAATGATTTAAAACAATTAAATATTAATGTTTTTTCATTAACTTTTTGTCGTTTACGCGGCCCTTCCAAATTTTCCATGATCACACTAGAATTCACACTGCACCTTGCAAGTTGCAACTAAGCGACATTTAGTAAACTGTCAAGAATACACATCTTGGACCTCCTTACTAAATGGAAAACCTATAATCGCATTTTCGGTGAAATTTGTTGGGAAGGTATTTATCTACTTATAATTCGATTACTGTAAGAAATTCTTGGAATTAAAATAAAACAAAATTGGCAAATAGGTACTTATTGAAAATAATCTTAAGATACGGCTATGTAATCTTTAATACACAGGGCTTTTGGCCTGTCCAAACCTTTTTCTATTGTTCTGTACAGCTTATGTTTATAAAGGACCAATAAAAGACCCAAAACTTGTAATAGCTCAGATACATTTATTACAATTTTAGGAAATATTTAGATTATTCTGTAAAAATATTTAAAATGACCGTACTAAGTTTTGCATTAGAAATGCTGTTTTATTACTCTCTCATACATAAAAATAGACTATAGTACTTCGACTTTCCTCAGCAGCAGGCGCTTCTGGACTGCCCATTTTTGAATTATTTTAACTAGTAAACAAAGCACTTTATTATCAGCAAACAAGAACTATGCAGATTATTCGGCAGTTGGGCCAATAACCTGTGAGAAATTACTAAAGAACTTTTTATTGAATTGATAAATATATATTATTGTGACATGAAAAAGACTGGCAAATATAACGTTTTTTTATAAATATATAGAGTGCTTTTTAATTAAAGTTCAACAACCTAGCTATTAGAGGCTGTCTTTTAATGATAATCCACAAATAAAACTAATTCAACATTATCCGTTCAAAGTCGCCATTCCAACAAGTTGATGGAAAAAAAGGCACACAAGGTGTGGGAGGTGATTTAAATTACTAAATTCACTAATTTTGTTTCTCGCGAATTTATCCTCATATGTATTAACAATAATAAATCCAAAATATTTCATATTGAATAACTTTATGATAAAGAAAATTCTTTTTTAAAAACCAAACTATTTTTACTATGCTCTGTAGATTTTATCCAGGTCACATAGACTTAAAATTCAAGTGAAGATTCACAATACATATACAACAAACAAAAGTAAAACCAAGTGAGAGTGGAATTTCTAATAAAGGAAATATTTGTTGTTTCATCGATGCGCGAATAGTGTTCAAACTAGAAGAGTAAAAAGCAAAAGGCCTTAACCTCAGCGCCTCTCTAGCGGCAACTTGCAGTCTATTGGTCCCCTCTTCTTTTCCAGTGCATTAGATGCGCTTATAAATTTACCTACTATATCTACAATAGTTACAATATGCTTATATAACTTTCTATACTACAGAGCGGTCTCTTTGAACCAGTATTATTTATATAGACGTTTATTTTTTTTTCGTGGTACACTAATGAGTAGAATCTTAGTTCATAAAGTTTTTCATCTCTAGATAAGTTAGATTAGAATAAAATTACCAATTAATCTTAATGATCAAATTGTAATAATCGCAAATGCTTCTTTATTTGCAGCATTTATTAAAAAAAAATAAAAGCAGGACCTCTAATACTATAAAATTCAAGTGTTTGTAAAGGTAATAATTCTTGATGGATGGACTGAAAAGCTCTAGAAAGATTAATATCGAGAAACGCCTCTTTGAATGTGTTAATAGGATTTATAAGGTGTGTTAATATAATTTACAAACCTATCGTGGATAATCTTTTCTTAAATCTTTGAAAATGCTGGTAATTGTCATAAACCACTATAATTTACAAAATCTCCTTCTCCTTTTTTCAATAGTAATCCGGATGGTGTACTTTAAAATAATGTGTGGCATTGATCTTCGCCAATTGAATTATACGACTTTATATTAATCATATCTTGCTCAATTTACATATTATATATATTATTTCTTAACGTTTCACACAATGTAACAAAATCACTTGAAGAGAACTCTGCCATATTTAAAAATCAATAATAAAATGATGAAACTAATATAGCGGCTGAAATTATAAACGAAACAGTTTTCTAATCAGGTATTCAAGCTCTTTCAAATGACGAATTAAATTATCTATATTGCCATCTAATAGACTACACACTATTTTTTGGAGACTTGGTCTTTATTTTTGTTTTATTGGTTCATACTTTTAATAAAGGTATTTTTTTCTGCTATTCCTTATGAAAATGATGACAGAAACTTGATTTTTGTCATAAAAATAAGAGAAAATACCCCAATGTTAGCTTTCATCTCTAATGACGAAAGTAAGTTGTGTGAGATATTTTCACATATATTTTGGCAGCATACAATTATTAATAATAAAATAAAGGGATGCTCATTAAAATCAGAATGCATTAAAATATGAATGCTTTTATTAAATTATAAACAAAATAAAATTGTAAACATAGTGTAAAAGTTTTAATGTTTATTGTTCAAATATGTTCATTCTAATTCTAATTCTAATCCAATTCTCTCAATAATACTGTGTATATATTTAAAGAAGGTAATTTTAAAAAACTTAATAACTTTTACAATCAGGTGGACTGGACGTCAGTGAATTTTGCAGCAAACATCGAAGATAGAGTTGAAAAATTTTATGACATTTTATTTCAAGACATCAAATAGAGCTTTTCGACTGGTGAAACACCAAGCACATTTATGACAAGCCAGCTCTAAAGAGTCTCTGCTACTGCTTAGTTAGAAGCATTTTAGAATACTGTTCAGTGATTTGGGTACCTAACTACAATTGTCATATTGAAAAATTAGAAAGAGTGCAAGAAAATTTTTTTTCGAAGTATCTACTATATAAACATAGGCTTCCATTGCAAAATATAGATTACCAAACCAGAATTCTGTTGTGCGAACTTAAGAGTTTGGAATGCAGACGTTGAGAAGCATCGCTAGTTTTCCTGTATTAGTTATTGAACGGTTTGATTGATAGTGACAGCCTGGTACATTTTATTAAATTCCTTGTTCCTGCCAGATTTACTAGGCAGATGTAAATACTCATAGAACTAACTATGGACAGAATTTGTTTGTAGACCGACTGATGCCCAATTACAATAAGTATTTTTCCAATTATGACATTTTTAATACAGGTTATTTTCCTTAAAGCGTCCACTTTCATTACACTATTGACTTCATTTTTATACTATGAGAATTTTATTAATTTCTTTTTTTATTTTAATTGATATGTTAAATTTACCATTTAGAACTTTATATATCTGTAGCGTACTGTAAACAAATAAATAAATAAATAAATATTGACCTAAGTGTTTTGTTGTTTCTTATACAGGGTGTTAAAAAAAATGTCACAAAATGAAATGGTGAATAGTATGACCCAAAATAAGCAGAAAAGTCTTAATAAATATATGACCGCAAATTAACGGTTTCGGAGATACGGACCATTTTGTGTTTATAACAATTTTTTATTATTATAAAAAAACAATGATATTTATAAACAATCAATAACAACATAGAGTTAAATGAGATGTTCAAAGTGCCCTCCCTCCATTTCAATGCATTGGCATTTGCACGACCGTACATAAAATGCATGTCAGCTAATTCAATATTAGTGTAAACAGGCATATTAAACGAAAATTTATAAAATTATTCACCCACAACAAAATAATAACTGCAAATAGTATCTATGAAAAAACATCGGTAGACTCCGATAAGAAAAGCAACTTTTTGAGAATGAAAAAAGATAATCAAAAAATGATACAAAACACAAAACACTCCGTATCTCTGAAACCATTCATTTGCGGACATATGTTTATTAAGACTTTTCTGCATATTTTGGCCCATACTACCCCCCGTTTTATTTTGTGACACTTTTTTTTAACACCCTGTATAGGTACAAAATAAAATATCTGCTAGCGAATATTACCAACAATACACTATTTCAATACCAGTGGTAATTTTATTCTCTTGATATTGTAAATTGGAGTTTTGTTAAATTTATTTTTTCTTATTTTTCAGGTGATTGGCCATGAAGGGGTGGTTCGATGCATTTCGATACGATGGTGGGCCTACCCTTTACAGTTTCAACAATCGTACTTCAGTGACCGGTGACGTCACGTTCATTACGTTTATCGCTACATTTTGCACCCTTTACGTGGCATTTCTAATTATTTACTTTGGCATAAGAAAAGAGGTGAGTTATATTTTTGTTATTTATCTATATGCATCTAATATGAGAATAAAATGGAAAAATGGGGGATTAGGTATAAAACCAAAATGAAGATGGGTCCTTCTTCATATAACAGTTAACATTATTTTACATTATACAGGGTGTTCCAAAAAAATAGGTCAATCCGTTAACCTTAGATTCTTTAGGTTAGTGTAAGAAACCTCGTATAATTTTTTTCGATTGAGACCATCATGTTCAATATAAAGGGTGACAAAACTAATTAAAAAAAAAAGTTTTTCATTATATTCGTTGTTTTAATAAGTTAGTAAACATTAATATTAACAGATTTGGTTTCGTTTAGTTTAATACGTCACCTTTTGGTTCAATTATTTGATTAACTGATGTTTGTAGTTTATTTGCAGCCTCTTCATGATATTTGCCTATTACTAGGATTGCAGTATCATCTGCAAATGTAGTTATTGTATCTTGTTTTAGTTGGGGAATATCACAGATGTATAACATATACAAAGTGGGTCCCAGGACGCTTCTCTGTGGTACTCCTTCTTTAATTTCTTTTAATTCAGAATAACCTTCATCTTGTTTTACTCTAAAGAATCTATCTGAAATATATAAATCCAATAGCTCTGAGTATGATTATAGAAGTAGCACATTCAGTTTGTGTTTCAAGCCATCATGTTATACTTGTGGAAAAAGCTTCAATAAACTAAAAATCTTTTTATGAAAATATTTCTTTAATGACAATCTAATTTTTTGTAAAATCAAAAAACATAAGGTCATATTAATTTTTGTTTTGTTTTTGCTAACTACTGAAAAACAATAATACAGAGTATAACAAAAACTACAACATATCGCATTTGAGATTCTATGAACCTGATCTAAATGGTTTTCTCTAAAGACGAACTGGTAATTTGAAATTAGTTTCCTTCCTTCAATTAGTATTTTTTTAAATAGTTTCGATAGTATAGGCAATAGAGATATTGGCCTATACGACGAAACTTGCCAGTTGAATGCGACTCACATTTTAACTGTGGCATTGCTTCTTTTATGTTTTTACCTTTAGTTGTTGTTAGTCTGGAGAACAGACGGGTGTGTGCATTGAAGTCGCTTCCAATGAAAAATCTAGGTTTTTGACTATTGAGAAAATCTAGGTATTGTTCTTTTTTAACGGTATGTCTTGGAGGACAATATACAGAAGTTACTATAACAACAGAAGTTTTAAATTTTGTCATTACTGAAATTCTTCAGTCCTGTATCCTGCTTCTTGATGATGCTTAATTGCTTCTCTAATTATTATTGGGCTACCCCCTCTTGTTGCATTTCGGCGATGAATGGTATGATAAACCTTATATCCCTTAAATTTAATAAAGGACTATTGGATAAGTGAGTATCTGAAATTAAGCATAATATGTCTATGTTTTCTATGTCTAGGATTGCTTGGAATTCTTGTTCCATTAAGCTATTACTCATTATATTATTTTCCATATTATGTCAATACTGTCTTAATATTAATTTTGCTTTTATATTAATAACCTATTAACTATTGTTGTTTTTCTATTTTTGTGAGGTTTATGCATGCTGTTTGACTGATTCTGCGATTTATATGACATTTAAACGTTGTTCCCTTATCTACATGAAAACCTAAGTTTGGTTGGTTTTATGTCTCTTATTTCTTGTTTAATTTTGAAATGTCTACATTGATTTCTAATAGGTCTTTTACTCCATATTATACTCTTTAATTTTGTTAAATTGAGTTTCATTTTATTTCTATCAAAATAGGATACTATCGTTTAATTGTTAACAATTTCTACCAGATTAGAACACTGGTATAGACAGGTGGCATCATCGGATTATAGTTAAGTACTGTGAAGAGTAGGATAGCAGTAAAAATAATAATAATAATAATAAATAAATACTTTATGGTATTGATTTTGTTAAGCAAATTGACAACATTTAGGAAGATGGGTAATATTTCATTCTTAATGAATTTATTTATACATCAAAGCTAAATTTTGCACGATTGTACTTCTGACAGGTTAAAAATAAACCGTCATTTTTTAGACGGGACAATTTTAGGCATTTTTTTTCTGGAGAAATAAAACAATCAATTATTATACTTTCATCGTGGTTTGACGATAATAATTTTTATTTGAATAACACACAAATAATATCTGTACAAATGTAGATTTGAAAATTACATTATCTAAACACGTACAAAATAAATTTTAATATTCTGGTATTTTTTTTAAAAAATTTCTCAACTGATATTACTATTTAATTACGTAATATTACTGTTAAATGAAGTACAAAATGAACAAGACATAAAATTACGTCTACGAATAATAATTATTGTTATTAGCTAATAAGAAGGCGTACTTTTGGGTTTGGCATAATATTCACGAATACGCCTTTAATAATTGTTTATAATTCACCATAAACAAATATTTGTTTTTAAATTATAATTACGTTGATCGAATAGGAGTATTGACTTGGCTTTAGAATATAGCATACAAGGGTTTCGTAGTATTCATTTTTAAAGTTTATTTTTGACTTATTCTAAAAGAAAAAAAATTTAGTTTTTTTTCTAAAAAAAAAAAAAAATACAAAACTCGACTATTTTTACCCATTTTCTCAATTCTTTTTAGAAAAAACTAAATTGAATTTTGAAAAAGTGGTTCCAGTGGAGCTTATGTTTAACCTTCACTTACACGTACGTGTACATATTTTTTTCCTTTAAAAATAGTCAAAGGGATTTGAATTTATTTTGTTTTATATTTCTACACTTTATTATTTTTTACATAAAGTATATTTTAGTATATTTTAAATTTCTATTATCAAAAAAAAAAATATATATATTCGAAATAAAAAGGTATACATACAGTGAGATATGAATTAAAAATTTTATATTGCACGGGAGTTTTTTTTAATAAATACATCTTTGAGTTAAGAATAATTAATTCCAGCATGTTATCAACTCTTTAAACTGTTAAAGTAATAGTCCGATCAATATAGATATTTCAAATAAAAAAAATTCCGATAGAGATAAATTTTTGTAGAGACCTTGGATAAACAGTAGAAATAAAGTGCCAAAAGTCCCCGTTGATCCCATGAGTACTAAAAAATACGTGTGGCACTCGGGGACAGCCGCGGTAAAGCTATTGCATAGCATTTTTTATCAACTTATGTAATTATAATTATTTATTTTATTTATGCAATATTTTTTTTTTCTTTGATATTCAAGTTTTTTCTTTGATATTAATTAAAGTTACACTTTTTGAGCGTGGTGACCGATAAGAAAACAAATTTTTTTCTTTTATTGAATAAATGAGAAGTTAATATTGTTTAAAATATTTTTATTATCTTACAATACATGTAGGTTATTCAGGAATTTTTATCATTGAAACTATAGGCTTATGGTAACTGAAATAAGAAACATAACTTTGAGACTTGATATTGTCACGAATTGCATTTAAAAATAATTAGATTTTTATTAAAGATAAAATAAAGTACTTTCCAAAAATATATTTCAACTCAAATTTTATTAAATCGATTTCCAAAAATATAATTTTATTTCAATCTTTTTAATTTCAATTCAATTCCAATTTGTGTTTAATATTACATTTAAAGTTATTTAGAACAATAACAATCTTTTCGTCTAGTAATTAAAAACTTTATTTTATGTTGAAAGTAAACAATGCACTCAATTCGGTTATGCTGATTCTACAATTTCAAAACAGTGTTGGGGTCAGCTAGCCAAATTGACAAAACAAAAAATAACAACATTTTTGGCACAACCGAGGCTATAAGTTCTTCGGCTGTGACATAAATGGGCAGTAGGTAATACTCTGCTGTATTACAGTAATCAAAATAAAAATAAAAAATAAAGTCGTGACATTCCAGCTTGCTGTTAAAATATGTGGTAAGGTTATCTTGTAAATCTAATAAAAAATAAAATAAAAGCTCAAAGGGTATTTCTGAGAAAAGTAACCAGTTAATTCTTCAAAGTCTTTGTAGTGTATATATATATTGTATATTTGGGGTGTATTATAACATTGAGGATTTCTGGGTAGTTTAGGGGATTTTAGTTTGTGTTCATTAAAGATTTGTAGTTTTTTATTTGTGACTTTTATTCCTTCCCCAGTAGCGTAAAGCCAAGCCAAACAGTAAATCATAAGAAAGGTTCTCCAGTGAGTATTTTCGGGTGGCGCAAAGATCTTCCTCGACTGGAAGATCGTTTGAACGATTCGAAATACGCAGTTGCGTACCCCACGATTAATTAAATAACTTTAAATGTAATATTAAACATAAATTGGAATTGAATCGAAATTAAAAAGATTGAAATAAAATTATATTTTTGGAAATGGATTTAATAAAATTTGAGTTGAAATATATTTTTGGAAAGTACTTTATTTCATCTTTAATAAAAATTTTATTATTTTTAAATGCAATTCGCAACTCTAAATATCTGGAAAATACCGCATCAGTGGTGGTCCCATATTTTGTTGTGGATTCTTGTGGATCATTATTAATTTTCAAATTCAATTTTTCCGAAAGAAAAGTTGTCCACCGCTCTGATTTTTTATCAGCTAAAATCGCCAGCCAAGATAAGTAGAAATTTATTACCATTTGTACCAAGTATTTTCGACCCTTCTTCAGTGTAAAACTTACCGTTTTCGAGAAAAATCTGAAAAAACCGAAAATTTTGAATTTGGCCTTGAATAACTTTTTTTAGCACTCATGGGATCAATGGGGACTTGGCACTTTATTTCTGCTGGTGTACCCAAGGTCTCTGCCAAAATTTGACTTTGTCGGAATTTTTGTTATTTGATCAACATTTTTATGTCTAAATTGACCGAGGTATAATGTATGTTTTTTTAAACTAAGTAAATCATTTTTTTTCTTTCGCGTGTGGCATTGATCTGTCGCACTCTTTGATACGCGCTGCAAAATAAGTTTTTCTAATAAGTTTACCAATGTCTGTGGACAATATATCTATAGCAAAATAA